CATGAATATACAAAATAATCCGGCGGCACTGGGCCAGCACTGATGATTATTGTGGAACTCGGAGGAGCTGCTTCAAATGAGCTGCTGGAGACTGTGGAACTCTTCCTCCCCATTTTCCATCTGATTTTTACCACAAGGATCCTTATTAGGCTATTTTTCACGTATCTGTAAGAGAAGCACAAAGAGAGAGAGAGGGAGATTGCATCTAGTTAAAAATGATCAGGGAATTCTGGGTACCAGATGTTTTTTGCTTAATATTGCAAAATGGCTTTTATTAGATTACACTAAGCACTTACTAACTACAGTTAAACTGCTTTGCAGAGAAACCTAATGGGAATGCTGCCCTAAATAGCTTCTTTTCTTCTTCGTCTTCTTCTTTCCTCCCCCCACTTTTTAAAATTTTATTTGGTACACATTTGTGCTTCTCCGTGCATGTCTGTTGCATGGGTGTGAGCGTGTGTGGTTGTAAGGAATGCGAGAATGCAAGAATGCGAGAGGGACGAGATGAGGCGAGATGGACTGGCGTATTCTACACACACTGTCTTCTCGTTGGCTAAAGAGCCAAGCCAGGGTGCTAATGAAACGGCAACGGTAGGGAGAAAAGGTGTCCATTTTCAGTAGCATTCCAGCAAAAGCAATGTTGATATCCGACAGAGTCAGCAGCAGAGCTGAGCTTTGGCTAGCTTCTGACTTCCGACTGGTCTCATTCTTTCATTTATTTATTCATAAAATAGTATCCATCACCTCTGAAAAAAACTGCAAACCTCTGGTTGTACAATCACAGGCATTCATGGAGCTTAGTATCTCCACCCTACTCATGTGCACTGAAACAGGTGTGTGTGTGTCTAATGCAGACAGAGAAACTAGGTTGCAATCCTGCACAAGAGGTAGAGAAATAGTCAGAGGTATTTTGCAAGGTTCCCCCCCTTTCTTTCCCTAAAGCAGGCTTGGCCAAACTTGGCCCTCCAGCTGTTTTGGGACTACAATTCCCATCATCCCTGACCACTGGTCCTGTTAGCTAGGTATGATGGGAGTTGTAGTCCCAAAACAGCTGGAGGGCCAAGTTTGGCCATGCCTGTCCTAAACTGATAATCAGCCAGAAGGGGCAGGTTGATTTTTCATTTTGAACCCCAGCTTGTCTGTTCATGTTGGTGATTGGGGACAGCAAAAAAATAATAAATCCAAAACGTATTGGGCTATATTTGTACATCCCATACTATAACTGTTTCAGATTGTCACGCTAGAATTTAAATGTCCTAATTGTGAACGTGTGAAAACAATTGAGATTAGGGACCTATCTGCACTACACATTTAAAGCAGTATTGTAGCACTTTAAACAGTCATGGCTTCCCCCAAAGAATCCTGGGAACTGTAGTTTGTTACAGATGCTGAGAGTTGTTAGGAGACACGTGCTCTCCTCACAGAGCTACAGTTCCCAGACTTCTCTGGGAAGAAGAATTGATTGTTCTGACAGCTCTCAGCAGCCTTAACAAACTACAGTTCCCAGGATTCTTGGGAGGGAAGCCATGCTAGAAATGGCATGTGATTCAATTCAGTTCGCATTTAAAGGTGAATCTGTTAAATCCATACTTTCTGAAGCAATATGAGAAATGAAACACAGACATCCTTTGAAGTTCACACTTATCAAAATGTTGTGATGCAGTTTTCCAATCAACCAATGTTTGCAAAAATGCATCTATTAGGGAAAGTCTGCATAAAAATGAATATATTAGTGAATTTAACAAAGAGAAATGAATCATATTAGGGGGGAAATGCCTTGCAAAAATGTGTACATCAGTCAAAACTGCATATAAAAATGTGTTTATTAGGAGAAATTCACATTGAATTCTGAAATTGCTGCAGAATTGTGGAGAATTGAGTTTAAGATTGGAAAAACGAGAAACTGAAAGATATAAAACTGACAGATGTTTCCATCCCTGGGTTCCATAGGAAGTTGCCTATAGGAAATAGCAGTCAGACTGTTGGTCAGCACTGTCTATTCTGACTGGCAGTAGCTTGGCTGGGTTTCAGGCATTGCCAAAACAGAAGACCCAGGTCTACTGAAACTTTGCATATTCTGATTTATGTGTATAGCTGTAAATCTGGAAATAATTACTATTGTTCAAATAGAAATACAAAAACAAACCATCACACCATAAAGGGGACATTTGTGACCAGATGTGCATGCTCAGTTTGCTATCCACTCATAATGGGCACCTTCAGACCTCAAGCTCTTCCTCCTTATACTTTTTTTTTAAATCTTTAAACCAGACTTGGACTGTGCAGACTTGCAAACAGAGGACTTCTCTGACAGCCCCTCAAACAAAAGGGTTGTATCTTCATGGGGACTAAGATACAAACGGTGAACCTCTTTATCCATTGCTCAGAGCCCTCACCCACCTTCCACCCTGGCTGACAAAAGCAGACAGGGCTTTGCATCACTCTGCTCCTCCTCAGCCTTGGGTTTGGATTGCGATGTTGGCCTCTTAGTCACCACACTGAACCAGCCTTCAATATATGCACAACAAATAGCGGCCAGAATTCAACTCTATGCTTTCTGCTGCTTCCTGTCCTGCATTAAAAGTATTCACTAGGGCTGAAAATAATGTGAGACCATTCTAAGCATTCTCTCCAGTGACATGTAAAACAGGGTGCCTGTGCGTCTCACGTTAAAGAAGGCAGTTTGAAGGTGCCTTCTGTTTGAAGGTGCCATCTGTTTGCAGAGCTGTCCAGCCTAAGTCTAGTTTAAAGATAGAGAACCTTAAAAAGGGGGAAATGAAGTTGTTCCATGGACAGTTACCACTGCAGACTGAGAAGGGACATAAAGACACCTAGTCATAGTCTTCCCCGCTATGGTGACAAGCGCTGTTGTTGTTGTTTAGTCGTCTTAGTCGTGTTTGACTCTCCATGACCTCATGAACCAGAGCATGCCTTGGAAACTCACTTCCTTCTCAAAGCTTCTCCTTTTTATGTCCATGGAGTTTTCTTGGCAAAATACTGGAGTGATTTGCCAGTTCCTTCTCCAGGTAGATCACATTTAGTCTAAACTCTTGGCTATGACCAGTCCGTCTTGGGTGGCCCTGCACGGCATAGATCATCACTTCTTGGAGTTATTCAAGCCCCTTCACCACGACAAGGCAGTGATCCATGATGGGGGACAAGTACTGTATTCCTCATTAAATTATGGCAAATTGGTTATGAACGTGCACTAGCACATATAAATTAGCATGATTAAATTGTATGCAAACCTGTGTCCTGCTCTGTCCTGTCTTCTGGTGATGCATAAATAGCCATCCTTGTGTGGAAACACCCAAAATATGTGACTATGCCTATAGATTGCTTTTGAAGTCCTATTAATATTCACTGCCCACAAAATTAGCCCACCACTCTTCAGCTCACCACAGGAACAGCATTTTGATGATCAGGACCAGACATAAATATCCTGGAATAATGCATCCTGTGTAGGGTGAAAGGTGATATAGAGCGGAGAGAAATCTGGGGCTCAGATTAGGAGCACAGAGAAACTGGATGTGGGCAGAAGAAAAGCAGGCATTGGGCTTGAGAGAAAGGAAAGCAAGAATGCAAAAGTATTGAGGCAAAGCAGGTTCGTGTAAACAGAGGTTCCTGAAAGCATTGCTTAAGGTGCTGTGGGCAAATAGATAGACTGATGGTGGGTGATTCTGCTTTGTAGTCTTGCTCATCAAAGTGAGTGTGCAAGGAACCCCTGAAAACTACAGAGAACACTGCACTTTTTAAAAGTGTGTTCTGTGTATTTATTTATTTATTAAGCTGAGAGATGCTAATTAATATAATTTAATAGAAAGATAAGGGACGTGGGGGCACTGTGGGTTAAACCACAGAGCCTAGGACTTGCTGATCAGAAGGTTGGCGGTTCGAATCCCCGGGACGGGGTAAGCTCCTATTGCTCGGTCCCTGCTCCTGCCAACCTAGCAGTTCGAAAGCACGTCAAAGTGCAAGTAGATAAATAGGTACCACTCCAGCGGGAAGGTAAACAACGTTTCCGTGCGCTGGTCTGGTTCGCCAGAAGTGGCTTAGTCATGCTGGCCACATGACCCAGAAGCTGTACGCCGGCTCCCTCGGCCAATAAAGCAAGATGAGCGCTGCAACCCCAGAGTCGGCCACGACTGGACCTAATGGTCAGGGGTCCCTTTACCCTTTATCTTTAATAGAAAGATAGCCATTTAATCATTTTTAATAAGGAACCAACTAGCTTTTACCTAGTTGTTGTTTTTTAATACTCCCAGTTTAATTAATAAAAGTGAGCCATTTGCAATAGTTTCCACAGCTTGAGTGACTGGGCTAGGACTCAGTGCTTTCCAAATGCCCTCCATATGTCAGGTGACACCAAGTGATAGTGGTTTACCAAAGGCTGCTGCAAAACACAGTGCACAATCTCAGGTGCCTCTCTATGCCAGTTCTTTTCTGACATTTTGCAATATGCCACATGAAACAAATAACTAAATATGAATGATCCCCGCTGTCTTAAACCACTTCAGCCTTAGCACTATTCAGCCAGATCTATTGCATTTTCTAAGCCAATAGAAGATCAGAGCATGTGCTTCACTTATTCTGACAGTGACATGCAATCATTTTGCTTCAAGCAGGAACAGGTCACTGTCTCAGTGGACATCCTAGTTACTAACTCTTCCTAGACACTGTTTTCGAGTCAACAAGCTAAAGGTGTGCAATCCTGTGACATATATATAAATATATATATTCAATGCCAAAATTATGATTATTTGTTCTTTTCCTAGAACCATCAGTGAGCAACATCGGGAATGGAAGAAGCTGAACCTGAACAAAACAGGAAAAAGGATATCCATTCCATTTACTTACAATAAAGAAAGTTTAAAGAAAAAATCATTTTAAAAAATGTTGTGCTATTTTTCAGCTGAAACACATTACTGTGTGTGTTATGCATGTTTAGTAAAAAGTCCATGTGTGCATTTGTGCATGTGGTTTGAGAACTACAGTTAAAAGGAAAGGCCTAATTCTCAAGGAATGCACGTGTGTGTGTGTGTGTGTGTGTGTGTGTGTGCGCGCACACACACACACACACACACATATATATATATATATATATATATATATATATATATCATTGTCTTCATGAATGAATCAGTGCTTCATTTTAAACAAGGCTTCTGCACTGAGCTTAGCCCAGCACAGTAATTTAATGAATCTACATTTCATGACTGAAGTGATAAGGATGAAACATTTTAAAATAACCAAAAGGTAGATACACCAGAAAAGTCTGATGAAACATTAAATGAATGTAGTGTAACACATTATCTTTGCTTCTGCACATCCAAAAAGCGCAATGAACTAAAACATTGCATTAAGCCACGAATAAAGCTAAAAATTAAATTGGCTCAGGAAGATCCAGCGTAGTGGTTTATGCAGTAAGAACACAGTAAATTTGGTCATTTAATATCATTCTTTTTACCTTCAATGTGCACACTTAGAGAAGGAGAAAAACCCTTGAAACTCATGCAGGAAATTGTATGGGAAAGGGGAGTGTATGGGCTTTAAGAGTTCTACTCATTTAACATTTTTTTAAAATTGACACCATTTTCTGTGATCTTATATAGAATATAATTACTCTCACTGACCATCATTTAGGTGCTGTGAATCCCCTAACACATGAAATATAACCAGGCCCATTGGAGATAGAAACAAGACCTAATAAAGAAGACATATTCAAAAATATAACCCTGCGCCTCCAAATCAATAAATAAAGACAAGTATTTCATACACTAATGCATATATCTATGGCTATTATAAATTAGTGGCTTGCCAGAAAATACACTTCTTAGCACAAGTGCCATTATTTCAAGTTGTCTGTTTAATGCACACTTAGTATATTTTCCTCATGCAAAGCTGCACTGCATAATTAGGCAACATCCATTCTTAAAAAGGAAAGTAGACGTCAAAAATGAAATACATAAAGCCACGACATTTTACAAATTTGCATCTCCAAAAGTTATGTGCGGTTTCTGATAGGCGAAAAAAAAATTGCAACAAGATCACTATATTATAATGGTCCCAGTTTCATCTTCGCTTGCTTCATCTGCTAGGCTGGCAGTAATGTAAGTTATAATGCACTCATTCTCATTCAACTTCAGTGGATGGGAATTTTCTAGAGTAGTTCTATTAAGTGGACGACTGGATAGGTGTCTTAATAAGTTTGCTGAATTATGGCCGTTAAAGCTCAGTTAGATAAATTGTTTGATGGCTAGTTGTTTTCATCGTAGGCATTTACTGTCTCCTAGGGACAGCTTGAATGTTTCCATTTATGTCCAGAGCATTGGATGAACTTCTGTGAAACCTACTGGTCATACATTGCAAGGATTTGAAGCCATTTTCTATTTCAGGTGTCCCATGGCTAGCCAGGTCCCCTCAAGCTGTCTGTCTGCCATTATAGAAAACCAACAAGGTCCTCAGCACTTAACAACCCAAGCATTTAAAAGCACGTGTGAAATCCACATTTTCTTTACATGTCACAAGCATGCCTAACCATCTCAAGCCAGACACACTTCACATAACCTGATTCCAGGGGCCCTACATGCCACAAACTCCTGGTCAGAGCTTTGAAAGGGTACGTGAAAGATACTCAGATTTCTTCTCACAGTTAATCTTGCCACCATGATGCCTGGTGGCTTGGCTCTTTTCATGCCACCCTTTCTGTATTTTCAAAGGCTAAAGGCAGAGAAATAGTATATATTTATTCCCACCCTTTGCAGTAGCCACAGGTTGGTGGGAAACAAAATAAAATAAGATATGAAGAATACATAAAATCCATAAAATAATACAGTCCTTAAAAATAACAACACAGCAACTCACAACCTATTATGACATAGCTGTCATGTCTTGTCACGCCCCTTTTCCTCCAAATGCCCATGGAAAAAGTGTGTCTTAACCAAATCCCTAAAGCTAAAAAGAGTTGGGGCCAAACATACCTCAGTAGAGAGGGAGTCGTAGAATCATAGAATCATAGAATCATAGAATAGAATCATAGAATCATAGAGTTGGAAGAGACCACAAGGGCCATCGAGTCCAACCCCCTGCCAAGCAGGAAACACCATCAGAGCACTCCTGACATATGGTTGTCAAGCCTCTGCTTAAAGACCTCCAAAGAAGGAGACTCCACCACACTCCTTGGCAGCAAATTCCACTGTCGAACAGCTCTTACTGTCAGGAAGTTCTTCCTAATGTTTAGGTGGAATCTTCTTTCTTGTAGTTTGGATCCATTGCTCCATGTCCTCTTCTCTGGAGCAGCAGAAAACAACCTTTCTCCCTCCTCTATGTGACATCCTTTTATATATTTGAACATGGCTATCATATCACCCCTTAACCTCCTCTTCTCCAGGCTAAACATGCCCAGCTCCCTTAGCCGTTCCTCATAAGGAACATGTACATGTAAGGAGTCGTACATGTAAGGAGTCAGCACTGAAAAGGCCCAAGAGAAATCATCATCATCATTATAATTATTCAAATTTATATACCGTGCATTATCCGAGGATCGCAGGGCAGTTTACAATATAAAAACACAAAAATTCTTACTATAGTAACTAACAAAAGCAATAATCCTCCCACCTCAGTATGTTATGGATTTCAAGATGGCAATGAAAAGAGATGACAGGGAGTGATCGTGTCAAGAAGTGAGCAGTCAGTTCCATGAGTGACTAGCACCTTTCCCAGGGCCCAAAATCTCTCTCACAGGACATGACCCTCTGCCAGCAGGAAAGGGCTACTGTGCTCATGACCTACTTGTGATATTCCCATTGGCATCTGCCTGGCAAGTATGCCAAACAGGATACTGTATTGGACTATATTGGCCTTTGGTCTGATCTAGAATGTCTTTCCTTATATTTATAATACCTTCCTCTTCAGACTTTGTATTTGGGGTTATGTCTCTATGCTGTTGTGCTTAGGAGTCTGCTTGCACATCTCAGCAGCTTTTGTGGAGGGCCACAGGAGCGCATTGCCTTGTAGGCTGCAGAAGCTTGGACAGTGTACCAGAAACCTTTGTGCCCAGGCCCGTTAATCACACGGTGCCACTGAGGTATATAAACTGGCCAGCCCGCCAGCAGCCAAAACATCAGCCAAAGAAAGAAAAACGAGCTTGCATCAGGCAGAAGCAGATTGCAGAGCTGTGTCCCAATGGTGTCAGGGGCAAGTCCTGAGCCACCACCATCAATTAGTTCAAATCAAATCAGACACACTGCCATTCAGCTTGCAACACTAATGTTCTGGTCTTCGCCATTGTGCACACACTCTCCCTCTTTCCTGCTCCCTGACACATGCACACATCAAACTATGGTATAATTTCCTCTTCTGGCATTGAAATCCTCCACTGATTACAGTGGCTTTTATTTCCGTCTTAACACTAAAATCTTCCAAATGTTTGCACAACTGTCGTTGCTGGCTATATGAAAATAAAGGCTTGGAAGTGCAAGGCATTCCATTATTGACAATAAAGATGTATCTGCACTATAGACTCAACTTAAACTAAGAGCCATTCCTTCTACCCAATTTCAGGGCAGGGGTTACAAATCTGCAACGGAATTCGCAGCACTCTCATCAACAATGCACGGGGTACTTGGTTTCAACAATCAGACCACAATAGAAGACAATATAAGGGGACTGAGAAATCCAGCACTCATTGAAAGAACTTGTGATGGACTTAGGTATCTCAAATTTCAGTGTCACCCTGTGCGTCACCAAAATTCAGCGCTCCCCACCTCTCTTGCTCTATTCTGAGTCATTGCTGCAGTGTCCCCTTTGGCGCCCTCTTGGCTCAGCACCCATTGCAAGGGAACCAGTCGTGTTCCCCTAAATCTTCCCCTGCTTGCAGAGGGTGACATCACTGGGTCTAGCTTTGTGCTAACACAACATTCTCCAAACACCTGCACAATCAACAGCATCCAAGAAAGTCCTATATTGATTACAAAGGACACTTCACATGGATTTGCATATATATATGGTTCAAAGATTTCTGGAACCAGAAACAGCTAGTTCATAGGTTCAACACATGTTATAACGTGGCTGTTTCAGCATGCCAGACCCTCCAAGTGCCCCTATTTGCCAGGGAAATCCCTGATTTAGCAAAGCCACCATACCGGTTTCTGATTTGATCTTAGAATGTCCCGCTTTTCCTTAGGATGTCCCTATTTTCATCAGATAAATGTTGCAGGGTATGGAGTTATCCAACCCCCAAGCCATGTGAAGGCAATCCTGTATAGAGGTTTTTTAATGCTTAATGTTTTATTATGTTTTTATATATGTTGAAAGCTGCCCAGAGAAGCTGGGGCAACCCAATAAAATGTGTGGGATATAAATAGTAAAATTATCATTATGGAATGGGACGTCCCTATTTTCATTGAAGAAATGTTGGAGGGTATAACATGCAAAGCCGACATCATCAATCCTATCTCACACCAGCCAATTACTTAATAACGTAAGACAAAGTGGGAAATAATAGTGGGAGTGCAGTAACTGCTTCCTCTAAGGATTAACTGGAGGTACAGTTTAGAAGTTACTTTTTCATCCAGCACAGCAGATGGAAGCATCACTCACACCTCTGAATATTCATTAATAATGTTACATTCAAATATCTGACACACAATTCTCAAATTCGTAATATCTGGAATTCAATTCGCTGCACAAATCTGATAAAGTGATTCTTCTGTCTGCTGAACCCAATAAAAGTAACATCTAACTAGACCAAAGAGACAAATCAGAATGGGGTGAGAGGAATCCTAGATGTGGAAGTTATTTATCAGCCTCTGAGGTTATAATGGAAGAGTAATAATTTCCAAAGTGCATATGCTTTTGAGAGCTTTTATCTAATTTCTCTTGAGCCCCACCCCTCCAGGTTCAGCTGTGCTGTTATGTCTTTGATAGTGGTCCATCTAAACTGGGATGCAGCCATCTTCCTCTTGCTGGTACCCTACCCTACAAAGAGGAGCCTGGAAAGAATGGTCCCCCTCTCTCTTTTGCAGTTGCTTTCTCTGAAGCTTTTAATACCACAGGCATGTTGCCATAAAGATTTATGTGGTTACCATGCATGGGTGGAGGAGAATTTCTGTTGAACTGCATTGTTAAGCAAACTTGAGTGGTGAACATGCCTTGGAAAGGAGTTT